TTTTTTTTTTTTTAATTTAAACAAGAATAATGTGCACTTTAATTTAAATGTCAAAGAGACGATTCAAGTCATTTCTAGTTTTGTAGTAAAAAAAACACAAAACACTACTACTTTGGCCCCCTCCCACACAAGAAAACTACAAAGAAAACTTTGCAGAGATGATTGCCCTCCAGATACAGTGAATTACAACTTCCTGCTCCGTAGAGAAGGTTGAACAAGATGCCTGTGAAGCATCAGACAGCTTTGAAAGAAAAAAACGGAAACAACATTTCCAGAAAACAGAATCCCCCCACTTAAAATCCACCCCACTCCTCTTCCCTTCTTGGCAACATCCTCGTTTTTCAAAATAAAAGTTACGGAGGCAAAAAGTCAGGTACCAACGGGCAGGTGGAAATCTCTGTTGCTCTCCAGTGGAGCGGGAGGGCAGTAGCTCAACTGTATGGAAGTTTTGTGGCTCCATTTGATCAATTTTAAAGTTCTCTGTGAAAAAAGTGCCTCCTCGTTTCTCACCCCGTTTGACTGCTTAAAATGCAGAATGTAACCGTCACACTTGTCATGATAAACTCCTTAGTACATTTACAACACAAAAAAACGTTTATAATGTAAACTTGACACATGCTATTCTTCCTTTTAAAAAACAGAACAGGAAAACAACAAAAGAGAGAGAGAGAGAGAGAGAGAGAGAAAGAAAGACTAAAGCTAAACAGGTTCAGATTCGGCATGCTACAGTACTTCCATGTCTCATTGAGATACGACACTGAAGGTGACAAAAAAGATGACAAGGGGATTACAAAATATTTTGCCAGCAGGTTATGAAGCTGCCCAATTGACCATCGGCGAACACTTTCCCTTCCCCATAATCTATTCCTAATGTCCATGATTCTAGTGCTGGATTGGCCATTTATTTATTTATTCTTATCCGTTCGGGTTAAATAGGTGCTTCCTTAACTTAGTTAAATCCATCGGTGTGGTAGCTGGGGTGAGAATCTGCCGTGAGCTGAGTCGTCTCTGTGGCCGAGGCTGGCTGGATCACGATGGGGCCTTCGTTGTTCTCTGAAATAGAAACGGCAACTTTTTTGAGAGCTGAACATCAAGAAGGCTCGGCTACCACCTTTCCTGGCCAATTTTCATAACTTAGTAAAGGTTTATTTAAGCATCCACAGAATATGCCAGGTGTCATCGCAAGGTGGAAACGAGCATTTGCCAGAAATTCCAGACCTATTGTAAGAAAAGTACTCTGTGGCTACTCAGATGGTACGGGTCGTCTTTGCCTTAGGACCACAATTGAGCCCAAAAGTTCCACTGCTGAGCAAGACAGTTATTAAGTGAGTTCTGCCCCAATTTACGACCCTTTTTGACAGTTGCTAAGTGAACCAGTACTGTTGTTATGTGAATCTGGCTTCCCCCATTGACTTTGTTTGTCGGAAGGTCACAAAAGGGGGACCGCAGGAGGGTGCAAATATCGTAAACACAGGCTGGTTTCCAAGCACTGGAATTCGGATCATGTGACCACAGGGAAGCTGCAAGAGTTGTAAGCTGAAAACTGGTCATAAGTTCGTTTTCCCAGTGCTGCTGTAACTTCGAATGGTCGTTAAAAAAAATGCTTGTAGCTCAAGCGCTACCTGTAATGGCTGGTGTTAAACAGGCTCGTGGGAGGAAATTTCTATGACATTCTATTTTGAACATTCATTTTACAGATTTCACCCATTTCATCTTGTTTTTTTTTTTTAAATTGTATCTACTTGAATGCTCAATTTATGAATTTGCTGTATTTTTTTATATTAAGTCCTGTCTGATGAATTGTAAAGCTATTAAGCCAACATAAGTAAAAGAATCTGTCGATAGTTCATGCTTAAGTACCTGAGGAAGAAAAGTTTTGTGCTGCAATTTTTGAAAAGGAAATGAAGTCCTTTGACTGGATGCAGAGAGTGGCTGCACAACAAAAGCCCCGTGAGGTGGTTTGGGCTAATAATTAGCCCAAAGTCACCCAGCGGGCTTTCATGCCTAAAGCAGAGCTAGAACTCACCGTCTCCCAATGATTAGCTCAAAGTCACTCAAGGGGCCTTCATGCTTAAGCTAGACTGGAAGTTATATCTTAACGATTGGCCCAAAGTCACCCATCAGCTGTCATGCCTAAGGCAGGACTACAGCTCAGTCTCCTGGTGCCTGGCCCAAAGACAGCCAGCAGGCTTTCATGCCTCAGGCAGAACTATAACTCACTGTCTCTTGATGATTAGCCCAAAGACACCCAGCCGGTTTCGAAGTCTAAGGTGGACTAGAGCTCACTGTGTCATTGTTTCTAGCCTGACACCTTGACCACTACACCAACTGGTTCTCGCACCTTAAGCCACATCATGTCATCTCTTTCCCCTTTTCTGATGTTTGGATGTGTTTCTGGCGATTTAGCTACTAGAGCAACCAACACTTACCCCTCTCGTCTGATTGTACTTGGGCCTCCAAGTCTTCTGGAGAGACATAACATTCTGGTTCATCTCCTTCGGGGGGTTTTGGTTTACACTTTCCACAGCAACAGTTACAGCAACAGCAGAGACAGCAGAGACAGTAGCACCCGGTTATGAGCCCACAGAAGATAAACAGCGCCTGGATAGCCGGGAAAAGAAATGTAGATTATCTATATGAAACAAGCAAGCTTGCCTGGGGAGGTCAAGTTAGAGAAAGGTAGTGACCAGAATTGGGTGTTCTGAAAGATTGAGTGTTGAATTCTGAGCAGTGGAAAGATCTGCTGCTGATCACATGTCCTAAGAGCTGATGATGGCTCATTGGGTGTGATCTTCCACCTTAACTATACTGATTTATGACAAATACTCAGCAATTCTAGAGTCCTGCATGTCAGACATTGATCCAAACACATTCAATTAGTTAATCAGCCAATTCTACACAAGGCAGCCTTGGAGGACAACTCAGAAGGGGTGAATAGCTATAAAACATAGTGCCAGGTTAAGAAAATCCGACATTGTAGAATCATCTTGGGGCTGCTGACCCAGGTCCAATGCTGGATATTATCTAGAAGACTTTTTAAAATTTAGCACTGGGATAGATAGGGAACCACCTTGCTAAACAATGAGATTTGCCTGTCCAGACTGAATACCGAGGGAGGATCTGCTAAGGATCTCCCTACGCTCAAGGGATACTGTTCGTGGAGTATGGGCCACCACAGGCCTTTTCAGTGATGGCCCTAGGAGAACTTGTAAACAAGCTGATAAAGAAACAAGAGGAACCCTAGGCATGCATACTGGCCTATCTCATAAATCAGTCATTTGGTCTCCAGGCAAAAAGAGATTAAAAATGCTCAAAGAGACATCACCTTAATGAACACGCTTATAAAAGAGGGCTTGGGGTCCTACCAGAGTTTTCAGAATTTTGTGATCTTCGTTAATTCTTGCACCAAAATTCCTTATCAAGGCCTGCGGGATTCTTGCTTTCTTGATGAAGCCTTATTGTAAATGCTGGCTGGAGAATTCTGGGCGTTGAAGTCCACCAGTCTTAGGAGTGGCCAAGGTTGGACACCCCTGCCAACCTTGTCCATTTGAGCCCATCGTGTCTCTCATATCATAAGCCTAACAAGACCGTCGTAATCCCAACATGCCTTTGGGTTTGAATGATTGTGGGTGATTATATTAACGTCATTAATACATTAACAATATTGTAACATTTTATTCTCAGTCTATCTTGCTTTGTGAATATTGCCCTGTGTCACGATGGATTGGGATGAATAAAAGCATAGATGAATTTAGAAATATTTCTAAACCTACCTTCTTGACCAACCTTTCCAGCACTCGGGCTGTCATTATATTACCAAAATATATATCTGACCTAATACATCTAAACTGCACCATTAGCATAAAACTCTTTCTTATGTATAGGAGAGTAGCAATGGCTTAGCATGACCAAACTCTTGGATGGAGTTCAAAATGCTTCTATCGTGGAAGAGAATCCAGGAAAAAGCTTAAAAGTCATAGACAAGTGTGGCCGACTCACCAAAACAGGAAAGCAGAGCCCTCAAACCTACAGGAGGCTTAAAATGGGTGACATCATTATGATATTCTTAAGCTAAAACACCAGCAAACCTTTCTGTTTACTAGATTTAATTAAGATGTATTTCGAACTTCAATAAGCCTGGTAATCTAGAAATCTAGTAAACAGAAAGGTTTGCTGGTGTTTTAGCTCAAGAATATCATATGATGTCACCCATTTTAAGCCTCCTGTAGGCCCTCCGAAAGCAACCTAGAATTTTCAGGAAATTGTATAGGGAAGATATTCATCATCATCATTAGGTCTTGTGCAGGCCATGGAGGACAGCAAGGGGTTTTCCAGTGTTTGTGATCATTTGCAGCATGTTTGACATCGTCCCAAGGGACATTAATGTAATCAGAAAGATGTTGCTCATGAAAAATTTGTCAAATTAAAATGCGTCGTTGGCCTCAAAATGGTGTGCCTCGCCACGAAAGATGAAAACGAATCCATTTTAGAAAAGCCGATCATAATTACAATGAATGTTGGAAAACAGGCCTGCAAATGGCAGACTTAAAAAGAGAAGATTTTTTAACCAACACCCTTGTAAAATTATAAATGGCAATTCACAGTCCTCTTCTAAAGTATTTGCTTTTCCTAGACTGAAGCGGGCATCTAGAAAAATAGGATCTCTTATGACCTTTCTGCACCCCTTAAAAAAGGCAAGGCTGCTTCTTGCTCTGGAAATCTTTATGACCCCCAGGAAAATTAACTGGCGCACAAATCATATGTGATTTAAAATTTCTTTAATCATGCTGCAGTTAGCATTTTTACAAGCCTCAGCAGTTATTCAATTTATAGAGGGGGAGAGGGAACAGGACAAAGAGGCCAAGGAAACTGGTCTGTGGTAGCTATATGGAAGCCCAAATATTTACTGATAATCGCTTTTTTCCACGTTAGAAAAAAGGCACTTCAATCCTTGAAATGAATGAGGCAAATTTTGTTTCAAGACAAAATTAAATTAATTTCAGAACAGAATCCACTCGGTACTCACCTTGGCCCACCAGCTGGATAGCACAAAATAGGTGTTCACATTCTCTTCTCCAAACTGTTCTGCTACGTACAGCCCCAAAGAGCCATACTTATCATAAATATTTCTTTTTGTGGCATCAGTCAATATTGCATGTGCGTTGTTAATCTCTTTAAATTTATCTGCGGCTTCTGGATTATCTGGATTCTTATCGGGGTGATATTTTAATGCAAGTTTCCTATGGAAGAAGTAAATGATATTTAGGGAGCGGGGGAAAGTTTGACAAAACATTAAATATAGCTGCTGGAACAAGTCACTAGGGAGTTACTCTTCAAGCAGTTGGAATTCTGAGAAAAATGAAGCAAGAACGCCCTCTTACACGCAACACTCATTTAAACACCAAACGTGTGTGTGTGTGTGTGTGTGTGTGTGTGTGTGAAACACAGACTCCACATTCTGAGGATGTCGCTTTTTGGTGTCTGTTGTAACTTCGGATAGTCACTAAGTGAAGACCATATCTAGTGGTGAAGGCATCAAGCTAGAACTCCGGAGCTATTTGTGATGATGGCTGCATCCCCTTCATGCAGTCACATGATCACATTTTGAATGTTGAGAACAGGCTTGTCTGTATGGCCGCTTGCCATCTCCACTAGCCATGTGGTGGCAATTTTTGACTCTTTTTTGCCAGTTTTGCTGGTATTTATTTCCAATTTCTGACAAAAAAAACAACCTCCACCTGTTAGGTAAAATGGATTTCCTTAATGACCAGCATAAAAAATGCCAGCGATCAGATCTAGTCACATGGTAAATCCATTTAATGACCACCATGACCTACGACCATAAATCGAGGCCCAATTACGGTTGTAAGTTGAGGATTAGCTATACCTGACTCTCCAAGAAAGCCGACACCACAAACAGCCAAATTGTTTTACTTTTATTCAACTCTGCCAGTGCAGCTTCTTTTTGGAGACATAAACAGATGGGGCACAAACACCCCTCCCCACTCTAAAGCACCTTTCCTGTTTGAGCCCTTGTTGGAGAATGTGCTCCTGAGCATATGCAGAATGCTAAAAGAATAGCAAGTAATTAAGTAGTGGAAGTTCCCATTAAAAAGAAAAGCTGGATGCAAAGAATGGGTTTATCCTAGCCATAAATGAATGTGGTTCATTAGTATTTGAAGTAAATTATAGATTTATTAAGAAATATTAAGAAAGCTTAAGTTCTGCCTAAACTGCATTTTGAACAGAAGGACCTCACAGTCCTCCTTCCTCCTCCTCTCTGCAAATTCCAGCCCCTTCCAGCACTGATGATGTTACCTAGTTGGGTAATGAAACATCTGCAAGCAATCAAATTCAGAGAGTACCAAGGACCCCGTTACTGGCTCATAAGTGCAATGGGGATGATTCAATCTCCGTCACAAACTGTCAACCCTTCAAATCAAAACTTTAGAATAACATTTACCACCAATAGCTCATCATCCCCTAAAAGTAGATGATTCCCATCCAGTGTTTTTTTTAAAAAATACATTATTCTTGATCAGCCTGAGTTACAGACAGATTTGGAAATACCTGATACATTTTAAGGAGAAATACTGCAACTTTATTTTTGCAATTCATTGGCAGAATTTCTAACACTCACTGATGAGAAACAGCCAAAGAACAAGATGACCCAATCCCCTAATTAGATGATTGAAAAGACAAAAAAAGGTTAAAGTAATTAGGCTAAATTCTGGCATGGAAAGAATAACAACACGTTCCAAGTTTTGGACCTGCTTGCTTCTATTTTTAATTCATGTTTTTGCATGTATGTTTAAGCTAATACTAAGAGGGAAACACCAAATTGATTTTCCATTTTCTTTTTGCTCTATGTGGCAGCATCCTTGAAACCTGGGGTTCTTGATTCTTTCTTTACCTCAATCACAGCTGTGAACCCACAAAAATATGCCGCTTATTTTGGGGGCACAACTGCACCAAAGCACTTTTCTTCAGATTTCAAGTATTCTACATCCCCATTAAACATAGAAAAAAAAATAGTAAAAAAACCCTAGTGGTCCATCAAGTCTGCCCTTTGAAGTTTTTATTTATTTTTTTTGTCGGATGATGGACATGTGTTTATTTCCAAGCATGTTTAAACAGTTATTGATGATTGACTCACTACCTCTGCTGGAAGTTGGTTCCAAGCTTCCATTACTCTTTCTAAGAAGTGACACTTGCTAACATTACTTTTGAGCTTTCCACCTGTTGCTGAGAGTTTATGCTCCTGTTTTCTTAATATTTGCTTAGTTTTTGCTTTATATTGAAATCAAACAAGATTTTTTAGAGCAAAAGCTTATTATTTAACTAAGGTAAATGATAATATATCTTGAGTTGCAAAAACCTTGGAAGATCACAGTTGGTTGAATTTTTGTCGACTCCCCAGTTCGAGAAAGTTGGGTAGGAGATTAGAATAGAAATAGCTGTTAAGTGCATTTACTGGCCTGTACACCAGCTGACCTCACACAGGTAGACCTCAACTCACAAATGTTCATTGAGTGACTGTCCGAAATTATAACAGCACTTAAAAAAAAGTGACCGGCAACAATCCTCATAGTTACGACTATCACAGTGCTTGGCAACCAGCATGTGTTTACAAGGGTCGCAGTATCCCAGAGTCCTGTGATTGTCAGTTGCAAGCTTCCCAGATAGCTTCCAACAAGCAAAGTCAAGGGAAGAAGCCAGATTCACTTAACGGCCATCTGATGTACTTAACTGCAGCCATTCACTTAACAACCACATTACTTAGCAAAAGAAATTTTGGTCCCAGATGTGGTTCTAAGTTGAGCACTGTTGAGGTAATTCCCCGTTAGGAGAATGAGCGCATACAGGGAAACGTATTTGAGAGAAGTGTTTGAATAATACACACACAGCACACAGAAACCCTGTACAGTAAATGTAGGTTTTTACTTCCAGAAACGGTTTAAGCAAAGTCCAAAATAAGCAATCCAAAATCATTCACTGGTAAATCAGTCAGTTTTTCAATCCAGGAATAATCCAAATATCAAAGTCCAGTGTCAAAAAACATTTCAGTATCAGACTTACATTAAATCCAGTAATATCAGTCAATTGGAAGAAATGGAGCAACGGCAATACTTTCCAACAGAAGGAAACAGAGACACACTCACACTCTCTTCTGAGACAAAGACTAAACAACCCAGGTTTCTGGCTCCATCTTATGGCTGTTTGAGAAACCACACCCAATTGCATGCTCTTGCACTCCCTTAAAGATACAGTACTAAAATGTTTATCCTGGTTTATTTATTTCTAACCCAAATACCTGTTAGGTGACTTATATTCCTAACAAGCACTACTCGTTTTAGGGTCTAGAAATTCGGAGATTCAAAATCACAAGGTGAGCTGGTTGTATCAACAAACGTTTGTTTGCCACATACTTATGTGCCGCTTGGAGATGTTTGAAACTGCAAATGTTTAAAGTGCATCTGGAATCCATACTACCTTTAGGATGAGGTTCCACCTCCTTACCTGTATGATTTCTTAATATCATCTGAGGTGGCATTCTTGTCCAATCCTAGAACAAGGTATAGTGATTCTCCGGACGTGGATAACGAACGTTGCCTCTGATCTCCCATCCTGAGCTACCCTGTCAGGAAGAAAAGTGTTCAAAACATGGCATGACATTGTCTAGGGAGAGCCTTAATCATCCTAGTCGTGTTTGTCCCAAAAGATGCTTTTTCCAAAAGGCAACCAGGCTTTCTTGGTTTATTCTTTGAAAACATTTCGTTTCTCATCCAAGAAGCTTCTTCAGTTCTGGTAGGGAATGGAAGGATTTCTAGTCCTCAGCAGTCAATCTGGTTGTTAGCACTCTGAAGGCTGGATTGTTAACTTTCTGGAGGTTGGTTGTTAGCTCTCTCTTGTGAAGACAGCAGAATCCACATTCTGGACAGAGAGGACCGCTGCATTGAAAAAGGGGTCAAAGAGCCATCTATATTAAGCCCCTCTCAACAGGGATATGACACCACCTATCTCCTGTCTACAGAAGGCCTCCCAGCAGTCTCAAAAAAGCTTCCTTACCTATTTGCACTCTGATTCAGGAAGCCCAGAGGGTACAGATTAACCCCCCAAGTGGCCTCAATGACTCTCAGAGAGCTAAAGACCAACCTTCAGAGTGCTAGCAACCAGGTGACTGCAACGAATATAAATCCTTCCATTCCCCACCATTCAGCCAGAACTGAAGAAGCTTCCTGAATGAGAAGTGAAACATTTAAAAAGAACAAAACAAAATAAGAAAGTCCAGTTCTCTTTTCAAAAAGCACCTTTGGAACATAACATAAAACTGGTTTCCTATCTCCATCCGATTAGCACTCTGCAATAGGCAGTGCTGAGTTGGATTAAGGAGTCCAGACCTCCCGACCCTCTAGAGCCATAAAGTTCATCCGGAAGACACTCCAGGGTCTTCTGGCTGCCGGATCAACTTTATCCCATGTATTTTGATTACAGCACCATGAAGGAAGGACATTATCAAGCTTTGAAATTTGCTTTTGCTGTTTCAGCCATTTTCGATTCTCAGGTTGCCAACAACCTGGGGCGGAAAGGAGAGGAAGACTGGAATGTACACTCCCAGGAATGAGACAAGGGAACCAAGGACACTTCAACAGGTGTTTGCCAGAGCCAACAAGATGTTATCACAATATTAAGAAATACAATAGGACAATGTGACCTGGCCTAAAAGGGGGAGGGAGAATCTATACTTTAACTATATGGGTATGCACGGGAAATAGCTAGATCTGGTTCTGCTTTCGTATGTGCCGAAATGATGTAATCAACAAAGCTTTGCACATAAGGAGATGGGATTGTCCCCGTTGTGCCGGCTTTGCTTGGGTTTCTTAGTTGGAACTTTGACAGGTGTGTTTCTTCATCATGAAATTAATATACTTAATCTTAAGCATCCATTCCTTTTTCTAAAGGAAAAAGAATTAACCATAGTTTTAGTGATGAATATTATTTCTGTGACCTTGATAAGATGTGAATTTATTATACAGGTATTCCTTGACTTACAACCATTGATAA